CCTTCCTTCCGAGGAGTGGCTGGTGGGTTTGAACCGCCAGCCTTCTGGTTAGCAGTCAAGTGCTTTAGCCACTATGCTACCAGAGCCCCAAAATTACATAAAGATACGCAATATATCTTCTAAACTCTCTTATTAATTGCAACAGTCTCTGAGTGCTTTTTTTTTTCTATGTGGACCCATGTTATCTTTGGGAATTAAGGGCAGTTTTGTTTCTTTATACCCATTTATAATATTGTTTTCTTGTTTTACTGCACTAGCTAGGATATCCAGTACAATATTATCTAGAGGTAATGATAGGAGATGTCTTCTTAAAATCTCTGAGATCAGAATAAAGGAAAAGTGTCTGATGTTTCATCATTAGGTAATGTTTACTATTGGTGTTTTGTAGATAACTTTATTAGATAAGGGTGTTACTTTCTCTTCATCGGTGTTAAGGATTTTATCACATATGGATACTTAATTAGATGATCATCATATGCTTCAGAACCTTTGTTCTGGGCACTGTCTCCTGTCTGATCCACATTGACATGCAAACTAAACCTCAAATGTCTTCAAGGAACAAATTCTGTGTTCCAGTTCCAAGTGTCTGCTGTCATGTAGATGTAGATTTCTGAGAACTCCTTACTTTCTTGCTAGGTCAATACTGTATTTTTCTTAAAGAGTTACATTTCTATTTTATCCGCACTTCTGGTTGTTTTCAGTGATGGGTTGTCCAGTGCATTCAATTGCATGCAAGAAAAGTAGTTTTCTTGTGATTTTCTGTCAAATAATGTCTCTCACTTCTTTAATAGCTTTTCTTGAATTCATCTCCTTTAGATTTTCCTTTCTATGATCTTTTGGAAATTTTAACTATAGTCAATCTTTTGATTATTTTGCTTTACAAACCTTTTTCATCTAACTCTCCAATTTCTTAACAGTTTCACACATTTCTTTAAGACTGAAATTGGTCATCTATATGCATATACAGTTTTTGTCATGTATTCAAGCATATCTTCTTGTCTTATCTCAAAGACTTTATCATATTTTCAGTTCGTGAGTAAAGGATGTGTTCTCTTCCTTTTGGATCACCCTATCATTCTATAAGGAGCCCTGGTGGAACCATGGTTAAGCATTCCACTGAATGAAAAGTTTCTGGTTCAGCTCTCCCAGACGTGCTGCAGAAGAAAGGCCTGGTAATCTAGTCCTGCAAAGATTACAACCAAGAAAACCCTATGAAGCAGTTTTTCTCTGTCACATGGGATTACTATGAGTCAAAATTGACTTGATATCATCCAACAGCAACAGAAATTTATAACTGCACATTCCATTTGCCATGTGCATTTTATTCATCCCTCAGAAACATGTGCTTTTCAATTCCATCTTTTTAGATTCCTTTTCTATATAGGTGAAAAGCGTGTGTTCATGGGAAATTTAATAATCCCTCTTATGAACAATATTCTATTCCATACAGTTATTTACTCATTTTGAGAAATTTCACACACACACAAAATTCAAATCAGAAGGCTATCTTGTTCTCTCTCTCTTTCTCTCATTCTCTTCTAATTTAGCACTACAAATTCCCTTTACCTTGCTCTATTTATTTTTCCAGGGTGCTCTGGTAGTGTAGTGCATAAGGCACTTGACTGCTAACCAGAAGGCTGATGGTTCAAACCCACCAGCCACTCCCCGGAAGGACGGCTGGGCAATCTACTTCCATAGTGATACTGCCTGGGAAACCCAAGGAGGGGTTGCTATGAGTCGGGTCCGACTCGATGGCACATAACAAAAACAACATTTATTTTTCATAGTACTTATAATCTAATATGTATTTCTCTTATATAATTGTTACTTACTCTCTCTCTCTCTGCCCAATAGAGTGTAAGTTACATGAAGGCAGGGATATGAGTCTATTTTTTGCCAATGTATAGTAGCCCTGGTGGCACAGTGTTTAATTGTTTGCTTGGTAACCAAAGATTAGTGGTTCAAATGCACTAGATGCTCTGTGGGAGAAAGATGTGGCAGTCTGCTTCCAGAAATATTCAAAACACTGGAAACCCTATGAGGCAGTTCTCCTGTGTCCTATAGGGTCACTGTGAGTCAGAGTCAACTCAATGACAACCGGTTTTTATCCCAAGCACCTAAAACAGTGCCTAGCATAAAGTAAATATTCAATAGATATTTGTTGATATAAATGCATAGGCAAATGTCAAAAAAGTAAAAGAGCACTCCCCAATTTACTTTTCTCAAATATTAATATTTTCTTAACCATGCTATCTTATTTTATGCTTTCAGATATTAACATGGCAGGGGAACCCAAACCATACAGACCAAAACCTGGAAATAAAAGGCCCATCTCAGCACTTTATAGGTAAGTAAGTAAGCACTGGTCTTACTATATGTGGTAGTGAAAGTTTCTTGAAATTTAATAATCCCTCTTATGAACAATATTCTATTCCATACAAATATTTACTCATTTTGAGAAATTTCACACACACACACACAAAATTCAAATCAGTTATGTATAACCTATAAGAAATCAAGTATTTTAAAGAAAAATCCTTATTGGGATAAGGTGCTATAAAATACTGGTTCTTAAAAATCCTTCTACGAGGTATGTCTCTAGTGAAAACTAATAAAAATCTCTAACGACTCTACCTGCCAAGTGGGAGAAAGGTCAATATTTGTAGACAATCCAAAGCATGAGTTTCTGCTTTCACTTAGATGTAGGCTACTGAGAACTCCTTACTCCCTTCCTGGCTGAACGCTGTATTTTTTTTAACAGGTACATTTATATACCATGCACTGTTGATGTTTTACCTATATTGTTTCATTTAATTTTCATAACTTTGTGATATAGATATTACTGCTTTTAGCTTATGGATCAAAAATCTGATATGCAGTCTCTTAGTGATTTACCCAAGGTCATGTGCTGGCAAATGATGGCACCAATACTCAAACTCATGCCCTCTGACATCACACCCCAATTCTTTCTACCCTGTGTCTCAGCTTCCTTTGTCACAAGGTACATGCTTCTCACATTCTCATTTCTCCAAAACAACAAATACAACCCTTCTCTTCTTCAGAAAGTAATATCCAATTCCCTAAGACTTTTCTAATGTATTTGGATCTGAGTCAATTCAGCATTCTGGTCTTTCCCCTCTAAACCCAGAAACCAAATCCATTGCATTGAGTTGATTTCAGCTATTTTTTTTCCCCTCTAGATGCCTCTAATTTGTAAGTGTCCAGTGGATACATTAGACTAGATTTTAGCACCTTTGTTGTTCTGTATGTACTTCTACTATGTTAAGTAAAATTTAGTTAATTTGGGGAAGATAAAAACTACAGTAAATTCAGAACTTTCAATGAACAGCCCCTTTTTAAAAAAATCAAGTGCTGCTATCAAGCTATATGTCCCACTTCATGTACTTTTGCCACTGGTTTTTGTTCTGTAAGTGCTGACTTTGCATCTATCTCTGTTAAATTCCCTTGTGTTAGATTTAGCTGATTATTCCAGGCTATTGAGATCTTCTATCATCCAATTTATGTGTTCCTCTTCCAGATACATATTGTCATTCCATCAGTGTTCAAATCCAAAAAGCTAATGTAAGTGTTGAGAAAGGTCCTGTTTTTCCTGATATCATTTGGATAAAGGAGAATCGAGTTAAATATGTTAAAATTCATTGTATTCTGATACAGTATAGTAAGAAGAGTGCTCAAAAGAAAGCTTCAAGCTGTTTTCTTGACTTTGTTCTCTGAAAATGAGCATATCTCCTTTTCCGTTACTCATAGCCTCATTTCTCAAAATATAAAACAAGAGGGTTGGAACTAGATGAGGTTTAAGGTCCCATTCATGGCTAATATTCCAAAGGCTTTCTAATGAATGATGATCAAACCAAAGCAAAACCAAACTCACTGCTATCAAGTTGATTCTGACTCACAGCAACCCTAAAGGACAGGGTAGAACTGCCCCAATAGAGTTTCCAAGGCTGTGAATGTTTAGAGTAGCAGACTCTCATATTTCTCCTGAAGAGCTGGCTGGTGGGTTTGAACCACCGACTCTTTGTTTAGCAGCTGAATGCCTTAGGCATTACACCATCAGAGCTTGATCAGAGATTTTTATATTATAGTAATTTTTCTTTTTTTTTTTTTTTTTGCTTGCTTCCCAGTCTGACCTATCAACCCTGCAATGCCATCATCACAGCCACACCCTAGTCAGCCAAGAAGCCACTGATGGGTGGTCTGTGTGTCTTCTAGAATTTTTCCCCTCCAGGCAAATAAACTTCTACCTCCCTTCCCAAAATAACTTAGAATAAAATTGGAAGAAATAATGTCATTAAAGGAAGGTTGGGCAATCTACTTCTGTAGTGATACCGCCTCGTGGAAAACCAAGGAGGGGTGGCTATGAGTCAGTCTGACTCCACGGCAGTGAGTTTGGTTTTTTGTTTTTTTAATATCATTTTAAAAAAAAAAGTACCTCCTCAAATTACTTCTTCCACTCTTACCCCTTATGGTATTTTCCTGAGCAACAAACAGCTTTTAAGATATTTCTGGTCTACCTCTAATTATTTTGGATGTTAGAATTTAATTATACAATTGTTTATATGAGAATGGAAAGATACAGGACTTAGCAAATGTTGATAACTGATCATAGTAGTATTGATGTTAGAGAGCAGAGATGAATTCCCTAACAAAAGACATAAGACACTTTACCTTGGCTGAGGTAAAGAACAATGTTTGCAAAACTGACAAATATAAGTGATTTTTATCAGGTTCATTTTCAGATGTATGCATAGAGCTGAAGCTAAGGCACGGCATTTGAAAAGCCCCATTTTCAATTATTAAAAAAATAAGTTGGCAATGACTTTTTTCTCATAAAAGAGTCACTACTGAATGTGCAGTGATGTTCATTTGTTAATTTTCTTATCTTCCCTTTTCTTGAATTGTTTTGATTTTCTTACAAGAATGGAAGCTCATGACAAGAAACAAATATCTTTTTAACTATTATTTCTCTATTAACAAATTATGTTGAGGTTAAAAGATTTAAACGCAAAATTTCATTTAAATCGGCTATGGTGGATATAAATCACAGCAGTGAGGAAATGTTTATTTTTTTCTCATTTTATTTGTTCACACAAATTATGGCTGGAACACTCTGGTATTGCAAAACGATAACAAAGGGAACAAAAGAGCATGAACATGCAAGTGATAAACTCCTTTCACACACGTTTTCTCATTCTTGCATAAGCTTAATAATAATAATACTCTACTTTTATGTAGATGGATTGTGTTTTCGTATTTATTATTATCCATCTATCCATCACAGAATTTTACAAGGTTAGTATAACATGCTTTGCTTTACAGAGGAGAAAACCAAGTTTCAAAGATAATAAAGGACTTACCCAAAATAAAATAGTGAGATTAGGAACTAAACTCTGGATTTTAGCCTTCAAGTTCATTGACCTTTCCACTATATCATAACTCCATATATTCAATCACC